AGGTCTGGACTCTCCTCCCAGAACAGTACTCCTACACACAAAATTCTGCATACAATTCCAAGGCATTCAAGGAACTTCTGAACCTCTTCTTAAGGATCCAAGTTAAGGATGCTGCAATTCTTAATTTTCTAAACAAGATTTGTACTGTTCCACCGACTGCCTCAACAATGGGCTGAAGTATGGCAATGATTGTGAGGATGGCATAGGACTGAGCAGTGTTTTGCTCTGTTGTACAGTTACTGAGTTGGAACCAATTCCACAGAATCTAACAACAACAAACAGGGTTTAGTAAGAGTCACCTTACTTTGAAATGCGGCTTGCACTGTGTAGTATTAAGGGTTCCAGCACTCTATTCCACATAATGAATATAAGGAGACGAAAAGCATGTGGTTGTTATTGCTGTCTGTTGCTGTGGAGCTATTCACACGGTTCTCAAGGTTGTGACCTTTCAGAAGCAGATTGCCAGGCCTATCTTCCAAAAAGCATGTAAAGTCTTTTATATTAAGAAAAAGTTATTGTATAGTTCCACAAAACAAAGAAACACTGTTTCATTCGGTCTGCTTAATGGTATAAATGGGATATTACTTCATGCTTTCTTTTTGAAGCACATATACAGATGATCAGAAGAGCCAAGAAAAACTCTAAGTAACAACACTGTGACTATTAACTACAGTAGATACAGTGAATTTCAGCCAATTCTTAAAGCCAAAGAACCTACAAACTAAACACATAGTTTTCTACTTTTTATTTGCAAATATGTGTTGTATTCTACTATCCCTATGATTTGTATAATATCCTAAATTTACCCCTTTCCTTAGTCTATCTCAAAAACTGACAGAATCTGAAATTCCGAACATCATACTTTAAGACAATTTTGTGATATTTCACTCAGCACGGCTTAAACAGAGGGGAGGGACATTAATTACATTTTATTTCTAATCCAGAATAGTTGATTTACACCACATATTCAATTTAAAAGTGCTTTAATACCGAGTCCATTCTTCATAATCAACCTCAGTACTCTTAGGGCATAATAAAGAACTTCTGGAGATAGCAACAAATACCAAAAGCAAAGGGAGATACATGTTAAATTAATTAATGGAAAAGAAACTATTTAACTGATATATTAACATTTTTTATCCATTAAGATTTACTCAGGAGAAAAAACTGTGTTCATATTTCACTTAAAATAGTACAGATCTCTAAAAACAAAACACAACTATAACAAAACCCTTACTGTGTAGCCTTGACTATGTCCCATGTGCTGTAATCATCAATATGAGTTTTCCGTCCAAGAGGTTCACCATATCCATGGTTATAATGGCTTTGGGGCTTAATTTCCTGTTGAAGAGAAAATCCCAGAGATAAGAATTGCAAAAAGAGGTGCAGAAAATATTTAAGCATTTTACACTAGGGCTTTAAGTGCTGTTTGAAGAATGCTCACTACTGAAATAAGTTTTACCGTATTCTCGTATTTGTTCTTTTCAGAGAAAAGACATGTTCAAATAATACTATACTGTGTACTTACTCTCCAAACAGAAATGTTACAAGACCAGAAATTAGTGACAAACTAGTAACTGGAATTCGTCTTTCAGCCCCATAACATTTTCTTACCTCTCCTTTGAATAAACTCTCCTTCTATCAGACAAATCCTTGTACCATTCTAGCATAACTCTTAGCCTATCTAATATTCTACTTCAAAACCTTCATTACATGCACTGTATTTTCATTTCCAGTTGCCACAAATCAGTTCCAACTTGCGGTGACCCCATGTGTACCAGACTAGAATTATGCTCCAGAGTTCTCAATAGCTGATTTTTCAAAAGTAGATTGCCAAGCCTCTCATCTGTGAGGAAGCAGAGGCAGAGATCCAGGTAAGGCCAGGGACCCAGGCCACGGCACTCCCAAGCGGCGGGAAAGCCAGAGAAAGAAGAGAAAAAGCCAGCAGGGGGACCAGGACAGAGCAAGGAAGCAGAGGCAGGGTAAGCAGGAAGCAGGGAAGGCCAGGGACCCAGGCCATGGCCCTCCCAAGCAGTGGGAAAGACGTAGGGACCTACGTAAGGGGAGGGTGGGAGGGTAGAGAAGTTTTGAACAGCTAAGGGAGACAAACCTGTCTGTCAGTTTGTCCTACTGTGGCATGTTGCTGTGAGGCTTGAGGCTGTGCCACCGGTGTCTCAAACCCAGTAGGGTTGCACATGGAGTACAGGTTTCAACAGCTTACAGACTGAGACAGACTAGGAGGAAGGAGGAGGCCATCCACTTCTCAAAGAATTGGCCAGGGAAAACCTTATGAATAGCAGAGAAACA